TTTAGGAAGGGACAGATGCTCCAAGAGGCCAAGAGTCCTTATTACTTCCCTCCACCATAGTCAGCAAGCTTTACATACTACAATGCTCCCACTTTAAGTCCTCCCTGAGACAGTAAATACAGCTTGTGCAACTGCTATCTTCAGAACCCTGCCTAGTCTGGGAGTTCGAATCTTTTGCAATGTTTGTTCTCTTGCTAATGTTAGACTAGGGGTCACAAAGTCAATTTACCTTAGGGCCAGTCCTCAAATCCTCCTGGTGCACAGAAGGCACCCTCCTCTTGGCAGCTGCTCCAGGGAGGGGAATGGAACGGGGTCTCCACCTTCCTACACAGCACCCAGCTGCTCCCAGGCAATTTAAAATTCCTTGGGGGCACTGCTGGACTAGAGCAGCTTCCAGCTGCTAGCTCTGCACTGCAACCAGCACATCCCTGTAGCCTGGGAGAGATGTGTGCAGAGCCAACCATCCCATCCAGAAGATGGTTTGGGACAGCCACTCCAAGCTCTGTGCTTTAAGGGACACTGCAGCATCTGCCCCAGCCATTCTATGGACATGATGGTTCCCCATACTCAGGTTAGCCTGCAGAGCCTTGGGTGGGCTCGTGCTGACAGCAGAAGCAAGCTTCTACTGCATTCACCGCAGTGACGGGAGCTGCAGGTAAGCAGAGCAATGCAGCAGCCTCTGCTCTGCTCCACTCCACCGTCATTTCCCAAGCCAGCCTAGTGCAGAGGCTGCTGTGTTGCTCTGCTTCCTTGTGGCTCCCGCTGCTGTGGTGAGTGCAAGGGGATGAACCCCTGCTGCAGACCCACACCAGGTCCCCCTGTAATTCCGGAAGCCATGTTCCTTGGGGTAGGGAGACTTGAGGGAAAGATGCAATGTAGGGAAGAGGGCAGGACAGGGGCAGAAAGAGGCGGGGCAGTGGTGGACCCGGGGCTGGGCTTGGGGGGGACAGACGGCCACAGGCACTCGTGCTAGTAGCCGTGCATGGGCTGGATTGTGGACCTATTCAGGTGGGGGATGGCCCATGGGAGATAGAATGTTCTTGTGGTTCAGAGACAGAACATTCAGGAGACGTGCTTTCCATTTCTGGGTCTGCCATAGACTTCCTGGGTTGTATTAGTCTTTGAGCCTCAGTTTTTCCATCTGTAAAAAGGGGTTGGTAATGTTCACTTATCTCTCTGAGGTGTTGCAAGGCTCATTCGTTACAGCCTGGGAAGTGCTCCTAGTTCCTCAAAGATATGCTGCATTTTTCTATCAATGTTTTTTAAATATAAAGTTTCTCAATTTTAGAGGATTATTATGGTGTGGGAAGGGAAAAAAATGGAAGTAGAAGTTTTGTGAGATCAGGCGTGACCTAGGAGGTGCATATTCTCCACAATTAAGCAAAAGGCTGTAATTAAAGCAAATTTAAACAAGAGGGGAAGCTCATATCACACCAGCTATGGAGGCAGGAGCTGTGGGGAGCACTGCTCTCCTACATTAGATAACTGTCAACCCTACCCGGCTCTACTTGCCTTGCTAAAGTAGACTCTCCTTTAGGTTTCAGCACTACAGGGCATGTGCCAGTTAGTTGTACAGTTGTGATTCTAATGTTTTGTATGCATAATTCAACGTGGAAATCAGGAATTTGTGGCCTATTTCTGCCCAGGGAGGTAGCTCCATGGGTATCTGAAGGAACAACCAGGCCTTCTAATTAATAAAATGTGTGCATGCTTTTCAAAATTAAGCAGTGGACCAAAGTCTCTTCCCATTTAAACAGATGCAACTATTAACTTCAATGGGAGTTGCATGCATTTAAAAAGGCCAAAATCTCTTATGATTCAGTGTATAGCCAATGATATTATTTTTATATACTTAAACATGTACAACGTAACACCACTACCACCGCCAGTGGGCAATCCTCTCTCTCAGGCAAATATGTCAAAGTATTCCCATGCACCTGTCATTGCAACTCTGGTTGACCTTTACAGTCAGCCTCTACTAGGGAATTGATTTTTACTGGTCCCTTGAGTGGTTGCTTAGGACAGATTTCACTGTATATCAGAAGAGAAGCCAGAGAAGACCCTTAAACAGCTCTGTCTTCAGCACACATGAGCTTTAAAAGCCTAGTGGTGGACAGCTCCATTTTTGCCAAAATTTCAGCCTATCTTCTAGGTACAGTGAACCCTCGCTACTTCGCGGTTCGACTATCGCGGATTCACGACTTCGCGGACTTTTTTCATTACATTATGAATCCGCGATGGTCGAACCGCGAAGTAGCGGTTACCAAAACTTTAAAAAGCCTCCGGGGAAGCCGGCGGGGGGGCATCCCAGGCGCGCCTGGGCTGCTCCCCCGCCGGAGCCCCTCCGCGGCTTTCAAAGCCTCGGGGGAAGCCGGCGGGGGGGGCATCCCAGGCGCGCCTGGGCTGCTCCCCGCCGGAGCCCCTCCGTGGCTTTCAAAGCCTACTTCGCGGATTTTCACCTATCGCGGTAGGGTTTGGAACCTATCTACCGCGATAAACGAGGGTTCACTGTATATGTACAGTATTATGGGGGCTAATTTGGCTATGACAAATCAGGAAAGAGATCTTGGAGTTATAGTGGATAGTTCTCTGAAAACTTCCACACAGTGTGCAGCGGCGGTCAAAAAGGCAAATAGGATGCTAGGAATTATTAAGAAAGGGATAGAAAATACTACACAGAATATCTTACTGCCCCTGTATAAAACTATGGTATGCCCACATCTTGAATACTGTGTACAGATGTGGTCTCCTCACCTCAAAAAAGATATTTTGGCCTTGGAAAGGGTTCAGAAAAGGGCAACTAAAATTATTAGGGGTTTGGAACAGGTCCCATATGAAGTGAAGCTAAAGAGACTGGGACTTTTCAGCTTAGAAAAGAGGAGACTGAGGGGGGATATGATAGAGGTCTATAAAATCATGAGTGGTGTGGAGAGGGCTGATAAAGAAAAGTTATTTATTAGTTCCCATAATAGAACTAGAGGACACCAAATGAAATTAATGGGTAGCAGGTTTAAAACTAATAAAAGAAAGTTCTTCTTCACACAGAGTGTAGTCAACCTGTGGAACTCCTTGCCAGAGGAGGCTGTGAAGGCTAGGACTATAATAGAGTTTAAAGAGAAGCTAGATAATTTCATGAAGGTTAGGTCCATAAAAGGCTATTAGCCAGGGGATAAAATGGTGTCCTTGGCCTCTGTTTGTCAGAGGCTGGAGAGAGATGGCAGGAGACAAATCGCTTGATCATTCTATAACTCCAAGATCTCTTTCCTGATTTGTCATAGCCAAATTAGCCCCCATCATACTGTACATATACAGTGAACCCTCGTTTATCGCGGTAGATAGGTTCCAAACCCTACCGCGATAGGTGAAAATCCGCGAAGTAGGCTTTGAAAGCCACGGAGGGGCTCCGGCGGGGAGCAGCCCAGGCGCGCCTGGGATGCCCCCCCCGCCGGCTTCCCCCGAGGCTTTGAAAGCCGCGGAGGGGCTCCGGCGGGGGAGCAGCCCAGGCGCGCCTGGGATGCCCCCCCCGCCGGCTTCCCCCGAGGCTTTGAGGATCCTACTTCTACTTCGCGGATTTTCATCTATCGCGGTAGGGTTTGGAACCTATCTACCGCGATAAACGAGGGTTCACTGTATCCTAAACCCAGATTACTGAGTGCCTTGAGCAGAAGGACAAAAAAAAAAAAAAAAAAGACACACACACAAAAAAGATTTTGAGTAGATGTGCTATGGGAAAGCAGTGTCAAGAGCAAAAGACAAGTTTGATGCCCTGAGGGTAGCCTGTGTTTCAGGAGTGGAAGGTTCTCATTATACCTTGCTCCTTTAAGATAAAAACAGAACTCCAAATTCACACTGATATAACCAAGAGCAGAACTTGGGTGCCAATATTCACATGGATCAACCAACAACACAGTAGGTTCCTTTGTAAAAACACCAAAAAGGTTGCCTCATTAGTCAAATTGATCTGAACCTTTGAGCTTCACCAGGCTAGACGTCTCAGAAGCTCAGATTTTCTTCTGGGCTATTCATTAATTCTTACTTTCATTTGGGCTGAGAATAGCAGGAGGATTGGTGTTTCAGGACTTGGGGAGGAGGGGTTCCACAAAAATAAAAAAAAGAGTAGAGATGTAACATCCCACCCCTATCATTACTGCCAGGGAAGTAAACATTTTTCTGAGCCCCAGAAGCAAGTGTTGAGACAAGAGTTTCTCTCTATTTCTTCATCTCCCAGGTCTAGACAGATGACTTTTTTTTAAAGAAAATCTGAGGGATTTACTAGAGGTTAGATAATATTTTTAGATGTGTTTCCACTTTTCTGTTGGTAGTTCATCTATTTTTCTCAAATGTATTTGGTATTTGAAGTTATTTGCCAAATTATTTTTACAAACAGTTCTTGGTCAGGGAGGAAAATAGGGCCCAATATATTTTGCCCACATTGGCTACTAAAGGCATGAAAATGCTGAATTACTTAATGCACTACCAGTACTGCCTAAGCATGTTGTGCACGGATGTCGTTCCCTGATACTACAAGCTGATAACATAACCCTTTCACTGCAAATTTTCAAACAAACACTTCCCTGGGTGTCTTCTTTACCTAAGCGAAGCCCTGTCTCTCCAACAGCCATAGGCGATTGCTGTAGCACAGAGCTCAACCGAGACTCAGACATAATGAAAGAGGGAAGATTACAGAGATAGTTAATGGCCACAGCTGCTACTGTAAGCCTCACTCTCCCAGGCCCCACTTAGCGTGAGAGGCGTTATGTTGCAGATACTTCTCCTCTGCTGCTATACACAGTGTCACTGGGGAAGTCTCCAGAAACAGAACCGCATTGTGTTGGTGCTGTCTGCCAGACTGAGAAAACCAATCATTCTCTTTGACAAGCAGAGCCCCCGCTTTCCCCTCTGCTACTGAAAAAAGTTGCTTCTAAGGGCCACATTCTGATCTCAGGTTACCACTGAGAATCTACAGCTACTGAATAAAGCAGATGATGTCAGCCCAGCACAAGCAAGATATAATCAAACCCAGGGCCTAGGGAAGATACAGGTGCACAGAGCGATACTGTGATAGACAGATACTTAGTCGCAGCCAGGAGACATTCCACCTATATACTGGAGAATGGTACAGAATCCAGTATTAGTTCAGAGTCCAAGGAGACAACAGGAGGGGTTCAGTTCTGAGCCCTGAGCAGCCTGCTGCAAGTGATTCTCCCTCTCTTGACAACAGCTAAGGAAACTGCTGCTCAAATATGCCCACCATTGACTAGCCAACAACTCGTGGGGGGAGGAACTACCAAGCATCTACATGTCAAATTCACTGCATACAGCTATGCCTGTGCTACTGGTGGGCCATCTGCAGATGCCACAGAGCTGGTGCCTTCCACAGGAATGGGCCGGAAGGAAGAATACAGAAGGTATGTTTTTCTTCCTCTTCGGATAGCCTCTCATTCACTTGTCGCTGTTATCTTTAAAAGAAAGGAGTGCGTAGCTTTATCTAGGTGGAAGAGGATGCAGCTTACCTCTCTGAAGGCAGGCGTGCAATCATGCCTCAGTTTTCTGAATTACTACTGTGTTCTGAGGGCTGGGGGGCAATTTAGCCCGTTAGTCAAATCAACAGACTCCCACTCTCTTCCAAAAAAGGCCTCTGCTTAGACTCGGTCATCCTTCCCCTCTGGCTGAAGGGGGATCTTCATCTCTCCTTATATTGGGGATCAAGCAATCCTTGGCACTTCAAGCCCACTGTACCTCTCAAAGGCCCTTCTCTCAGTTACAGGGTTTTACCATTACACATGGTGGAAACCCAGGCCCTCTCACCATTGCAGGCTCCAGCCTTGGAACCCTGTACTCTTTTCTTCAGCCCCAAGTTGCCTTGCATCATGAGTCTCCCAAGGCCAATTCTGTTTAGGCCATCTCCCTGGCCTCTTCCAGCAGTAGGGTTGCCAGGTGTCCGGTACTGACCCGGACAGTCCGGTACTGACCCGGACAGTCCGGTACTGACCCGGACAGTCCGGTACTGACCCGGACAGTCCGGTACTGACCCGGACAGTCCGGTACTGACCCGGACAGTCCGGTACTGACCCGGACAGTCCGGTACTGACCCGGACAGTCCGGTACTGACCCGGACAGTCCGGTACTGACCCGGACAGTCCGGTACTGACCCGGACAGTCCGGTAGCCCGGGGACTCCCCACCCCTGGACTTCCTGCTTACCTGGTTCCGCAAGGAAGCTGTGTTCTGGCTTGATCAAGAAAACAAAATGGCCACCAGCAAAAAGCCTAAAGGAATCAATGCCTTCCCTGGGTCTTAGTGCTCAACCACTTCCCTGTTCCTATCCTTATTCTGACTCTACATGCACTGAAAGGGGCATGCTGGGTTTTTGTTTTTTTGCTCAACAACTTTGGTCTCCCCTTCCCCACCAGAATTTTTTCCCTGGTGTTTTTTTTGGGGGGGGAGGGGGGGGTTAGTATTTTTGGTTGAACCATCTGGCAACCTTATCCAGCAGTCTAGTCCCAAGCCTCTCCCAGTCTCCACACCCGGCTTCATTCTAGGCCTGGGGGGGGGGAGGGAGGGAAAACCCCTCCTCTTCCTTAGGTATCCTCCAGTTAAGCCCCTCCTGTTTCTTTCCCCAGTTCTCTCAGCACCAAAAGCCACCCAGGAGCCCTTCCCCAGCCAGCTGCTGCTGCTTTCCTGCTCCTTCCCCTCCCCCCCTCCATTGAGAGCAGAAAGTTCTTATTGGCTCTTTCCCAGCAGGCTTACCTATAACCAGCAATCATTCCATCAAGGAGGAACATCAGGCATAGGTGGGAGTAGGGGCCTGTGCTCTTTTAACAGGCCCAGTCACTCTGTGACATTAAGCACTTTTTCAATGCCCTCTAACAAAGAGTAAGTTGTGTTTAACCCATTTGCCCCGGTACAGAGAGCACCTCCACTTTCAACTCAATGAGAATAAAATGAAGGCAAGAACAGATCTTCAACATGGCATGTGTGTAAAGGAAAAGGTAAGTTAAGCTGGACCAGCAGTACTATAGTACAACTGCTAAAACAATCTGCATCGATAATTTGAGGCATCCCCCTTCTGTTAATCACCAATATAATTGTGCATGCAATTACACACCATAATGCCCACTATGGTCATCTCAAATGTAACATGCCTTCATCTTTCAGATGCAAAGAGGATAAAAGCGGGCAGGTGGGCAGAATGGCCCAAAATCTGTTAGCGGGAAGGGGGCTGAGAGACACTGCACATTTCTTCCTCAGCCCTCTGGAAGCACCTCTACACAAATAATACACTGTTGGGGCTTTGTGGGCTTAAGAGATATGGCTGAGTAGACAGTGAGCACAGCCATGATATTTCCATGTGCATCATCCAACTCTGTTGGGAGACCCCCAGTAGGGCTTAATGCTGATTGCCAGTATTAACAGCCACAGTTTCTGCTCTGTGCTGTTAGCCAATCCACACGTGTCTGGCATAGTATACACCACATTAATGGGCATTAGATGCAGTGAATTAATATAGTATACATACATCTTGGGAAGTTATGTCGCCTGAATGTACTGGGCTTTCCCACAATTCTGTTCACCCATGTCAAGTATCCCAGCTGAAGTCAGCTATGGCATTAGAAAACAGGGAGTGTATCAAAGCCAAGATGCAAGAATGATGTGACCTAGCACAGGCTGGAATAAATCTTTCCGCACACCTGCTTTGGAATGTAGTATGCAAGAAAGAGATAAGAAAGACACAGAGCACCAACAAGTTAAGGGATTGTTTATGAACTGGTAGGTTGGATTTTAGTGCCATGTAAGTTTTGTAACTTATAAAATCATACTATAAATACTACTAGCTGAAAGGCAGCTTTTTGAGGTATACATTCTGTTTAAAGTGAACATGCTGCGAAATTTTTCTTTCCGGAAGGAGAGTGTGTCTCTTTCTCCTTTTTGTATTGTGCTGCTTTGTCTCCAGACAACAAATTTAGCTAAGTTACCTGTTTTGAACATGTTAAAGAATAAAGCATGAATGTAGTCAGTTTTAGACAACAGTGCGATCAAGTTCCTTAAGAGGTTCAGCGCTGACCCAATAACAGACCCGGAAGGCACTGATATCCAGTATCCATAATGCTGCTGTCAGACAAACAAGTCAGAGTAGTAGCATGGAGGAGTTAGCCCTGTGTATAAATATCTCAGAGCTCTGAGGTTTTACCAAACCATGCCACCCTTCTTTCCTCCTGCTATTCCCCTAGCCGCGTTTCTCAAACTGTGGGTCCCGACCCCTTGGGGGGGGGGGGTCGCAAGCAATTTAGAGGGGGGTTGTGGTATCACAAAGTTTGAGAACTCCTGCCCTAATGGCTTATCATCTCAGAAACTGGCAGAGTTTTCCAAGTAAATGTAACTCTGACTTTTTTTCCCCCAAAGGACGACACAGCACAGTCCAAAGTGTTCTAATTCTTCATCAGTAAGTACAGTAGTCAAGCATGAGGTGGCCAGGGCCAACTAAAGAAGTAGATTGAAAAAGAAAACAGTTGAGAGCTGTGCAGGAAGCCAGTAACTGAAGAGACTGGTGTGATTCTTCCAAATCTTACACAGCAATCTCCAACGAACATACAATGCATCATCAACATCAAAATCTGTTTTGTAAGTTTCCTGCTTGTTTTAAGAGACAGCACTATTTGCAATACTATCAATGCACATGCATATTGCGAAAATGTGATGCATTTCAGGTTGCTAAAATAAATCTGATAGAAAAAACAAACTAAATCTGATTTGGAAAAAAAAAATCCCTCCAGCATTTATCACACCTGCCATTTGCCAGTCAAGTGTGCTAAGGGAATAATAATGAAGTACACCCCAAATGACAAACCATTTCCCTTTGCCAGCCAGTCTGCTTCTGCAGTACAATACTAACAACACTTCCCTATGCCTTTTGGACATCTTCAAGGATACAGTAATAGTATAAATGGATTTTAAAAAGCTTGTCCCAGCCATAAAAATGTGCTACAAATAAATGCCTTTTTGACACAGAGATCCTCAAACTCTTGAAACATAAGTAAGGCCCTATAGGGAAGCACTACTTTCAGAGTAAATTCATTTTTTAAATCATTACAACCCCTTGAATATACATTTCTGTTTTTGCTTTAAACATGTTTTTTGATCATTTGTCCAAGGAACTAAAAGGCTGATCGAACTCTCACCGAAGGCAATGGGAGTCTTTTCATTGACTTCACTAGGCTTTGTATTGGACCCAAGAGGAGTATGTCTACACTGCAGAGCTATTTTGGGATCCTGGAAATATTCCAAAATAGTTACTCCACGTCTATTGAAACAACCCATTATTTTGAAATAGATTTCAAAATAACAGGAAACTTACTCTGACATCCTGGTAACCCTCGTTCCACAAGAGTTAAGGGGAATTTTGGAATAGCGAGTTATTCCTAAATAGCACCGAAATAAGCCTGGAAAAGTCAGCATCACAGTCTTCAACCAGAGAGCTGTGCAGCACCCTGCTGCTCTGAAATGCAGGCCAGAGCTGGAATGCTCCAGTGACTGAATTTAGGGAGGAGAGAAGTCAACCCCTAAAAGGTAAATGCATGCTTCTTAATTTTGATTTTATGTTTTTACCCCTATTTTTCAGCCAGCAATGGTGAGACATCAGGATATGGCAACTTACACTCTCCATACTGAGGCAGAGAAAGTCTCCTTCTTCTGATTGTGACATCCCAGTACCCTGAAGCAAACAACATTCAGTCTACATAACTTATATTACTTAGCAATTATAATAATGAAGTATAAATCCTTTATAATTTAATTAATTATGAATAGATAAAACAGACAGTTGGTAATAAATTTAACTACAATACATATTTATAACAGGATTTCTGATAAATAATTATAAAAATAGATTATGCATTAAAAATGTGACTGACAGCCCTGCTCCAAGAAACACTTATGTATATGAGTAAATTTACACATGAGAATAAGCCATTTAAATGCAGTAAGTGTAAACGTTCATGGGATGGGACTCAATTTGGGTCAGTCCTAAAAGTGAACTGATTGCACAAAAACTTTTATCCAGGTTGGTGCAAAACTATTCAATTCTAAATATAGTTTTGTTTAATGTTTTGCCTGGAATAAAAAAAAAAAAACCAACCTTGCTTTTGCATTATTTTCCTTTTTAAACCCACTTTCAAAGAAAAAACAAAACCCAAATAACTTTCTCTATTTTAAAAAGATTATGTATATTTAGTTTTATACTATATTGAACTATATCCAAAGAAAACTTACTAACTCTAATCTTGTTTGACTACTCTACATCAGCTTCTTTTAATTATTGAGATCTAATAAACGTATGGGTAGTAAGACCAAGACCATGTCTACACTTAAATACTGCATCGGCACAGCTGCACTGATTGAGTTGTGCCGCTGCAGCATGTGAACGTCTCTTGTCAGTATAGTTAATCCAACTTCCCCAGAAGCTGTAACTATGTTACCAGGAGAATCTCTCCCAGTGACATGGTGCTCCCTACAAGTGAGTTTAGGTCAATATAACTATGTTGCTCAGAGGTATGGATTTTTCACACCCTTGAGTGATGAGTTACACTGAGATAGGCATATCATGTAGACCCGTGGTCACCACCCAGTAGATCGCGAGCTACCGGTAGATCTCAGGGGCTAAGAGCAGCTCTTGAGCCCTCTCTGAACGGCGTGCCTGCACAGTACATTTACATCAGATTTCCTCATTTGAGGAGCAGCTACTCACCGAGCAACAACACAAGTGAGTAGCTGCGAGGAATGGTGGGAGCTGGGAGGTTTGGAGGGCTGAAACACCCCAGCCAGCTGACTGTGGCTTTCTGCTGAAAGAGGCTGCCCCGCGCTCCAGCTGATCGGTGGCTTCTCCTCTGCACCTGCCCACGTGGAGTTTGGTGCACCCTGGCTGAGTGCTATGGCCAGCTTGCCGGGCAGCCACTTCTCTTCCCTCCAGCCCGGCTGGCCTGCGTTCAGCCCTCTAGCTCCAGCTGTGCTGGAGCAAGGTTCCCCGGCTAAGCGCAGGATCACAGATGCGAGGAGAAGCGGCTTCCTGGCCAGCTGGCGATGGTGCTCAGCCAGGATGCACCAAGCTCCACATAGGCAGGCGCAGAGGGGAAGCTGCCCGATCAGCTGGAGTGTGGCTCAGCCTCCCCTGGGCTGAAGGCCACAGCCAGCTGGCCAGCCAGCTTCTCCTCTGCACCAGCCCACTTGGAGCTTGGTGCACCCTGGCTGAGCACCATGGCCAGATGGCCAGGAAGCCGCTTCTCTTCGTTCCCGCCCGGCTGCCCTGCGCTCAGCCTGGGAAGCTTGCTGTTAGTATCCCAACACTGTCCAGCCTGGAGCCCCCTCACCAAGCCAGTGTCCTCTTTTCCACCTCCTCCTGCATCTAGATTTCCTCCCAGAGCTTGCACCTCTCACCCCTTCCCACACCCAAATCCCTCATTCCCACTCCAGAGACTACACATCCTGTCTCAACACAGCAAGGGTCCAGTTAGACTGCAGGAGTTTTTCAGGATTCTGGAGATATCCCAGAAAAACTCTTCTGCATCCAGGGTTGCATTTGTTCTTCCGCTTTTTTAGTGGAAGAGCAAACAGGCTCTTTTGGTCACCCCTATATTCCTCTTTCCATAAGGAATAAGGTGGCTTCCAAAAGAAGGGGTTTTTTTCTGACATTTGGTCCAGTGTAGATAGGCCAAATGTTGGAAAAACCTCTTCCTACAGAATTTTTTTTTAAAAACAGCAGTATAAGAATTGGGGATAGCAAGTGATGAAGAGGAGGAGAATAGAGAGGGCGGAGCTTCAAGGAAGGGGCGGGGCGATAGATCTTGGCTTGGTCTGTCATTTAAAAAGTGATCTTGGGTGTAAAAAGGTTGGAGACCACTGATGTAGACCTTGCCCAAAAGACTGACATTTATGTATTGAAAAGTGATGACAGCAGTATACATAAATGGGTATGCCACATATTGTTCCTTTTCTGAGCAACTGGATTAGGTCTGTTTCCATTCTGCATAAAAAGGAAGCTTCTACATAGAGTCCATATTTATCAGGGGCTAATTACAAAGGGCAAAATGCTTGGCTGAAAGATGCTTCAAAAAAATTAAGTAAAGGATCTATCCTGAATCATTTAGTCATTGATTTTAAGCAGAGTTTTGCCTCAGGACTATAAGATTGGGTCATAAATGTAGGGTTTTATTTAGAGCATCATTATGGCTCAATTGGCAGCTCTCTTACTTCTGTCCCAGAATTCTCACCCTTGGATTCAGTCTTATCTTCCTTTCCGATATCATAATACAATGCTGTAGCATAACATTATGCATGAGATATTGAAGGATGGTCCCGTATTCATCATTTCTCATGGAACTTTAATCCTTTACTCCAGGGCTGTGTCTAGACTGGCCAGTTTTTCCGGAAAATCAGCCGCTTTTCCAGAAAAACTTGCCAGCTGTCTATACTGGCCGCTAGAATTTCCGCAAAAGCACTGTAAGAAATCACTGTAAGAAATCAGTGCTTCTTGCGGAAATACTATTCTGCTCCCGTTCAGGCAAAAGTCCCTTTTGCGCAAAGCTTTTGTGCCAAAGGGCCAGTGTAGACAGCTCAGATTTGTTTTCTGCAAAAAAGCCCCAAACGCGAAAATGGCGATCGGGGCTTTTTTGCGGAAAAGCACGTCTAGATTGGCACGGACACTTTTCCGCAAAAAATGCTTTTGCGGAAAAGTGTCTGTGCCAATCTAGATGCTCTGTTCTGAAAATGCTTTTAACGGAAAACTTTTCCGTTAAAAGCATTTCCAGAAAATCATGCCAATCTAGACGCAGTCCAGGGGTGGCAATCAAGCCACAGTGACTTGCCAAGGTTAGCCCCTGATGGGCTAACACCACTATATTTACCTGTGCCTCTGCAGGTACCAGCAATCACAGCTTCTATTTTCTATGGATCACCATTCCTGGTCAATGGGAGTGGCAGGAAGCAGAGCAGACCAGGACACCACTAGAGTGCCAGACTAGAGAGGTTCAACCTGTAGTGGACCTTGATTAATTAAAGAGAGAGACAGGAAGACATTAACCAAAAGACACACAGATATGCAATGCATATCTGCATTCATGCCAGGTAGCCCTTACTTGGTGGTTTCCCTATCAGGCTCTGGAGGAGAGCTAGACAACCCATTGTAGGTTGTTCATAGATATGCACCATTGTCACTTTGTCTATGCAGGTCCTGGCCTAACAGTATCTAACTCATTATTTGGATAATTTCAATATGAAATTGGTACAATAATATCCCATTATGCTCCATACTCCCTTATGTTTTAATTGGAAAGGAACATAAACCTTGGGTCAAGTTCAACAAGAAGAGTTAATATGATTATAGAGTACTTTTATGGTCTCTCCACTCAGTTATACCAGTACAGACTCACTGAAGTCAATGAAATCACACTGCACATAGAATCTGACTGTTACTAGTTACTATTTTAAAGGGATTCTAATCTAGAAGATAGTTGGTGTGTGGGATGGATAAGAAAGACAGGGTGGGCAGAGCATTCACCTCAGATGATATCATACAGAATGACACTGTCCGTCTGAAATGTAAAGCACATGAACTAATAATATGGCTGTTAGTTATGGACTTGCTAACTCTGGGGATTAGCTATAAGATACAAAGTTTCTCACCCTCCAGCTCAAGTTTTACGTAGGTTGGTAGTGACTGAAAGGTATTGCCAGATGATGATTCTTCAGTGCCCTTCATGAAAGGAGTTGCTTGGTCTCATACTCCAGTTCCCTGTGGTGTTCTCCAGAGAAACAAGCCTCCAAAATTGGCACTCTCAGTAGAGAGGGTAACAACACCCAGAGCATTTCATCCTCATTAGGGCACATTTGTGGCACAGAATGGAAAAGTACACTCTGCTGCTGCTCATACTGTGCCTAGTTTGCAAATAAAGACAACTTCATTTGCCAGGGCTGCCAATCTGGCATCTTTAATGAGTGCTAAAAACACACACAAAGTCCCCAATCCATTACTATTAGTAGTTTGAGAGATGTGGCAGGAGGCCAAGTGGCTAGCTACTCAACAAGTGTGATAATTCCCAGAAATTATGAAATGTCTTGGTGCCATTATGACAATAATTTCCAAAACTAAAAGAAGAAAATAAAAGATCAAAGTTAGTACTGCCCACTGACTGGTTATTATTTACATGTGTCTGACAACAATGCAACCCAGTTCTGTTGGTGACCAGAATTCTAAAGCTTTGTTAGTCCAAATAATAACTGAACCAAGATGGTTCTATTTAATGTCCTCCTATGCTGTTAATACATCATGGGAAAAATGAATATGTTCAATTATTGTTACATTATGCTATTCTCCTCTTCCAGGAAAAGAAAAGAGTCTACCTAAAAACAAAACTCCAGAAATATAAGCATGCAAGGAAGTCTATAATTGTAAAGCAATGGCAGCTTAGGCACCTAAACTGTATCAGTCAAAAATTAGTTCAGTGCCTGCTTCCCTTCATATACAACGAGGGTGGTGATGCCTTTAAATGTTTAGCTCAGTGATTGGACTGCTCATCTGGGATGTGGGAGATGCAGGTTCTACTCCTACCTGCCTATTTTATGAGTAGAAATGGTTAGAACAGGAAACTTCCATCATTCAGGACATGGCTCTACTCACTGAGCTATGGAATAATTTTTTTGGGGGGGGAGCGGGAGGATTCCCCTCCCACAGTCTCTCCTGTTGAAACTGTTTCTTCTATTCTGGTTAAATAATCATAGAGACCATGGAAGCAGGAAGAACTCACTACTGGTCACCCAAGTGGACATTCTATTCACCAGACTATAGAGTCATTTCCATTCTTTCCTGAGCCCAGAGACTCCTTAATTTTTGAGGGAGTCTCGCATCAGTCTATCACACAACTAGAATTCTGGTCAAAGCATGCTCCCAAAAGCTCAAATCCCATATGCTCCTGTGGCCAGGGGGTTGCAGAAGTGGGGGAAATTGAACCTGGTTCTCCCCCGTAAATGCATTAACCACTTTGCAATAAGTATAAGGTGGGTACTAGCAGTACCATTGCTAGCCAGATTTTGAATGGGACCTGATGCAGTAGGCAGCCTCTGAGCACACCAACTGGATTAGGCCCTTACAGGCAAAATATGCAGAAAACCACCTCTATGCCCCATGTGCGTGGATCACTCTAAGGCTTAGGTAGGGGACAGGGAGCCAAGCACTTACTGAAACAGTAGTTGAGAGGCAAAAACATAGGTTCCTAGAGAATTTATACAGCAAAAATTTAAGCATCAAGTCAGTGCACATGGCAGCTAATAAGAATTTTGAAAATTACAGTGGAGCCTAAACTGGGGTTTACGTGTCAGGGGGTTATAGGCCAAAGTACCTCTGTGAATTTGGACCTTTAAATTTAGGAGAGGAAGCAAAATATACTTGAGAGAAAAGAAGTGTAGGAGCGAAGATTGCCATCTTCCATTGTGGGTCCTGTCACTGACTTGCTGTATGACCTGTGCACTGTGCCTCAAATTGCCACCTCTGTAAAATGGGAATAATAATAATAATATTTACCTGCCTCACTTGGATGTTGGAAGATTTGTTAATGTTTGTAAAGCACTGGAAGATTTTCTTATGAAAGATTAAACAGAAGTGAAATGTATTATTACTAGAACACAAAATCATAAAATAATTCATTGTACTTACTGCATTTTTCATTTTCAAAGCATTGTAGAAGTTATAATTAAGTGCTTGTCTATATGTAAAGTCATGCCTGATTAACTGTTCCAGATTATCTCCTAAATAAACAACTTGTTGTGTATGGACAAGTCCAAAATAATTCTCCCAACTGAGTAGACTACCTACATTTACATGGACTCAATGCCCTCCTTAGGTCTCTTCCAACCCTATGATTTCAAGGAAAATAGAGAAGATCTGAACAGTCAATATGAAGTGGCACCTTTATTCAGACTCTGCTTCACAATAATTTACTGCTTGTGCAAAACAATAAACAGTTTTGTAGCATGGAAACAATCCCCTGTATGAATACTACTTGAAAACATACCCATTAGTTGGTCAAATGCTCCTTAGTAATTTTTAGTGGCAGGTCACAAGACACGAAGCACAAAATCAAGGCCATCCCTTAAAATACAGGACAGTGTATCCTCTTACTCACAACCCCGCCATGAGGTGAATGACCTACTGAAGGCCATACCACAAGTCAGCAACAGAGCCAGGATTAGAAGCCAGGAATTCCTGGCTCTCAGTTCTGTGACCAGTTCATTAGACCACGCTGCTGCTTTTGGGAGACTTTTTTAAAAACAGCTTTAAAAATCAATCTCATGACCCCTGAACACAATTTCCTCCCAACACGTGTGATCGGAATGGGAGAACCAGCACAACTCTCACACCCCACCTCTCCCCTGGAAGATGTGCCTGATGATCTGCCCTGGGTACAGAGCATTTGTGCGGGTGCCATGCGTTTGATCTTACTTGGGTTGTGCAATGCTTAGGATTCTCCCCCTTGGAAGAAGCAGCCTCGCTAGCAGCAACAGCCGTTTGCTATATTTGGTTCACCACGAGGTGACCCATCCAGATAAAGAGCTGTAGTCAACACACGCGAATTCCTTTCTTGGTGCGGCTGAGGGAGGCACCGAGGGGCGGCTGGAGGGGGATTATCACCTTCCTAGGTTGCTCGCTCTAATTATAGCTGGCGCAGCTGGTGCAGTTCCCTTCGCTGCGGGCGCTGGAGAGCCAGGGAGGGGGGGGAACGGGAGCTCTCTCAGCCCAAGCACAGGCAGCTTCCGGGGCCTACGGCTGCTCCGCCCCATGCCCAGACTGCATTGCTACACGATGAACCAGCGCTTTGCTATTGTTACTGCACCACAGTGCAGGGCAGCGTGCACACTGGCTGCACGAACCGCCTCCTTCGGCCGGGGGACTCCCTCCGCCCTGCATTCATGTGTCAGGCGCGTTAGCCTCTTGTGTGAGGCGCTTCTGCGGGATCTCTCCCCTTCCTGCCCGGCAGCGTAGCCTCTGAGCAAGAAGGGCGGGCGAAATCCCAGCGTGCCCTCACCCCACCCCCGGCGCTTTTCCCTAGACGGTAGCAGGAGCGGGATTTCTCCTCTCGCGCTGGGAGAGAAGCACTTGATGTGGTCCGGCCAGGGGGCTCGCAGGATGAGCCTGGGTGGGGAAGGTGAACTTGGTTGTGTAACCACCAGTCTGGGAGGGGGGGGGACCGGGACTCCGCTTGGCTAGAGCGGAGAGAGCCCTGAACACGCCTTGATCACTGACAGCGCACGTGACTAGACTGCAGCGCTGCCTGGGAAGTTAATTACTCAGGACAAAACCCCACTAAATGAAGTGTACACATGCGAGCGCGCTAATAAGAGGCCGCTGATTGCGGCGGAGAAGAATGTCACCCGGGCGATGATTAAACACGGTGCAGCTTCCCACTCCACCCTTCTTTCCCTCCCCTTCACAGACACCCAAACAAGACCTGAAAGTTAGGCACGGCAGGGTTACGTTTGGGACCTGGATGGAAACAGTCATCTGGGTCAAAGAGGCATCAAGAACAGAATTGCAAAGAGATGTACACAGGGGAAAGGCAGAGTGGCCGAAGAACACCTGGGACTGGCCATGATTAAAGAGCAGCTCCCTGCTTGCCTCTTCCCAGATCTGTTTCTAAGCAGCTCTCCTTTGTTGAGTAGGTCCTTTTAGGTAAGACTGCTTCTGCCTAAAGTAAACAGAAAGGCTCCAAGCTGGCTCGAGGGCACAGCATTTTAATGTCAGGAATATGCACTTAACCACTCTAATCAATCTCCCCTCCACACACACTGTCTAAAAAGTAATCTCTTGCAAAGCGCAGCAGAAACTGGCTCCACTCAATATCATGGCCTGCTTTTGAGGAACTGTGTGGAAACCCCCTCTCTCCCTGCCCAATTCGGTTATATAATATTGATGCTAAGATTGAACTTGAGAAGCTTCAGCCATATAAAGAGCAAAGAGCCAAATACTGTCTGGAGTAACCTCGGCAATCTCATTTACATTTTCTGTCTGTAAATGAGTGCAGATTTTAACAAGATTTGTGTGCTATGGAGGGAAGTAGTTGGGATTCCATCTAGGGCCCAGTTTTCCCATGTCCATGCAGCAAATCCTCCCTAGTTCTTCCTGTTTGGACTTTGATCCTGTCTTGCTCTCCACCACATGTATGAAAATACTCAGTATTGGTAAACATCACTGCTTCCCCTACACCCACCCTTTATTTCCATTATGAGACAATTGCCATGAGTGGCATTAACAAGGGTAATGTTATCTATAGCAGTAAGATCACACATACACGTTAAATGAGACAAAAAATTGTAGCCTTGTTTCAACTAGCTAACCTTGTATTTTTCTGTATAATTTTGATTATTTCTCATTATACTAAAAGTATTTTAAGTACAAATGATTAATCTCTTACTATTTTCAAATGTTCTCATGTGTTAAGGATAATAAACTTAAAAAAATTAGTGAATGGTAGAAGATTGCAACTTGTGGTAAAATGAACACAGCTTGCAGCTTTTTTATGAACTAAGTCATCTGGTATGATACTTCTTGGTAAGAGGGCTTTATTCTACTAGGATAAAACTTCCAAACATGACTCGGTAAAAATTGTTCTTCAGCTGCAGAGAGAGGAGTTAATCTAGATGTGCATTGCCTATATTGACTCACTTATTGGATCAAAGAATGTTGAACTTAGTAAATTCCCATTGCAGCCCTGCAAACCAGCTTTGTAGGAATGATTTTCTTAAGTGTATTTAGGATCTTTCACAAATACTGGAGCTGCATGACCCCATTTCTCTTCCTCTTAAAAAGCAAACATTTTCATAAAATGTCAGGTCAACTTCATTTGTGTGGAAAAGATATGATTAACAGTGTAACTGTAGGCTTAGTACTGAATTTGTAGAGCATATTGCCTAATAGTCTGGACAAAGGCAGTGAATGAGTTAATTATGGCACTCAACTCCAGAAAGCCTGGAGTGATGAAATGGGTAAATATGTATTCCATTCATCTGTTAGCACAGCCTGACCTTGCTCTGTAGCAGAGGAAAGGCGTGTCAAACTGAACAAAAAGCAAGCAAATGACTCAGGCCTTCTATGGCCTTCATATGAGTGAACATTTTTTGAATGATCCTACTTCTAGTCTTAGGAATCAGAAAGAGAAACCTTTTACCATTACTAACCAAAAAAACCTAATCTATAACTGAAGCACTTCCTTTGGGGTCTGGTACACTGATAATATGAAACAAGAAGTGTGAAAAACACATCTCAGGCTTGTCTATTAATGTCAGTGCAGACATTTTTTAAACAAATCCAACAAATTCTGCTTTAATTTAGGGTTAGAATGAATGTAAGAATAAAAAATAATAATCAGGAAGAATTTTATTTAGGAGTTACAGCAATGGATAGTGAAGAAAAACTGCTTTCACAACCTTCAGGTTGTGTCTACTAAAATAAACTCTTCCTCCTGAATGGCCAGTATTCTGGCTAAACTTTGACAGAAGTTTTATCTTTAAATGCATAATTTAGGATCTTAAATGTAAATATCTGATACAATCAAAAGATTATTTTAAAGTGATAAATTTGTAAAAATCAACTGTATTCCTTCCACTTTATTTGAATAGCGACATTTTATTTACATCATTTCATGGTGGCTTAAGTTTTACTGCACAACACTTCAAGTGTTACAAAATATGCTATAAGCACCTTAACTATTGCTACAATCCATGGCTGGATTCAAGAGTCAAATGGATATAGTTAATACAGTGTTTGCTATTCTCATTTCTGAACTTATAAAAAGGATTCCACCTAACCCAATCCTGTACTTTCTGGCAGAAGAAGTCCAGTGAACTGTTTCTGTAAGCGGTGCAAGCTGGATTTGGCCCAAATGCAGAAGGATCCAGGGTTCTGTTGAAATAATAAACCACTAGAGAGCACTCTCAAATGTATTTATACGCTTTCATAAGTGCTAGTTCATAAAACACATAGTTGCCATGGCCTGGTTTACAGCATGTCTCTTTAAAAAGAAAGCTCCAAAAACATACTAGGTTTTCTGAGGCCACCATAGTCTCCCTTATGCCAAGTCATTTTCCCACCCATTAGGTGCTCTGATGGACAATACTGCACCATAATATAAAAACCAAAGATAAAAAGAAAGGGCCATAACCCTCTAGTCTTCCTGGAGGGAGGAATTTTCTTTTCCCAATTGACAATTCATTCTGCCCTTTCCATGTTTCAGTTCTCTTGTCCCTACTTTTTGCTTCCCTATATGCTACTAAGGACAAAAAGACATAACTGTTTTTTAAAACTCCTGTTGATTTTGCCACTACATCGTTGTGCTTCAATGGCAGTAGCCTTTCAATGTAAATTTTTTTTTTAATAAAAAAGAAAAAAAAACCACTCACAGGAAGGGCATAAAAGCTCCTAATATTTTATTTAATGCCAAAGATTAAAAATAGGTAAAAATAGTAATGTGTTAGTTTAGTAGCTATAAACAATAAAAAGCACAGTGCAGGTGATATTCCAGTAAAAAGTAAAAACTTTAAAAAGAGTAATTAAAGTGAGATTTGAGAATCACACATTCTTCATTAAAACACTTTATTACTACACAAACTATCACCTTTAAAAAGTTTTAAAAGACTAACAGTCGCACTGTTGCAGCTAAAGCACTTAAAAAAAAAGCTTTGTAGCCAAGGAAACAGTAAATTGGTTCATTGACTAGTGATCATTGTGATCATAACTGAGCAAGCAACAAAATAAGACACACTTAGTTCAACTGAAATTTGAGAAATGAAAAAAAAAAGACTGATTTCAAGCATCTTTTTCTAATAATGAAATGTCACTGTGTGTATTAGAATCAATTGAGATATCAGGACTAAAAGTCAGAGCAGGTATAGTAACTTTCTGACATTTCTTTTCCACCTCTGTTGTCAATGTATTTTAACCTAGTTCAACAACAAGGCCTAAGAATTCCCACCCTTTGAAGTACTTTAAAGAATCGTCCAAAGGTATCGCTGGGCCACACAATATAGGCACACTTTCTCCAGATAAAAGGTTAAGTGAAAGGCCTCTTGGAGAACCACACAAATGCCAGTCACTCCAGGAAGCAAGTTAAGCTTGAATAGTGGGAAAAGTTACCTTCCCACCTCACCTCAAAGCTGAAGAGTGGCTAACACAGCAGAGCAATCTTTTCATGCAGTTTTTAGAAGGGATATCACTTTATCAAAAACATACACACTCCATACTATGAGTTATTATGCCAAACAACTCTAAAGAACTTGTTACCATCTATCAGCTTGAAATCCATGTTTTTAATAAAGTGCTAAATACACATTTACACAGACCATAGTGTTCCAAAGAATTCTTTACAGTTGTATATATGTGCGTTTTTTCCAACTTGTCTGCATCTTTACATAAGACACCAATTTGAACTACAGGTATAATTTTAAAGCGTAATATCAACTCAATGAATTGGTTTACCATGCAAGTCTGTATTTAATATTACATTGACCTGTAACAAGGAACATGTTAGTGGTGTGCTCATTGAAACACTCAAAAAATGACTGTGCATGTGCTGTTCTGATTTTCAAATACTAATGACCATTAAAAAAAAAAGTCTTCTGAAAAAGAGCTACTCTGCATTAAATAGCAGTCACAAGTTGATTAAAAGCATCCCAAAACTGTTTTAGTTGAACAGATTTTTTTCCCCCTAAAAAATTGAAAAACCATATACTATTTGCCCCAGGGATGAGAACTTGCAGTCATGTTACTGCTCAGAACAACTGTTTATGACCAAGTCAAACACACCTAAACATAAGGATTTAAAACCACAGCAGTGTTGCTAATGAGCTAAACAGGGACAAAACATCACTATAAGACTTAACCATTTATAGTAATGATTTATTGATTTAAAAAAATCTGCTTGCTGATGCAGAAGCTTGATCAAAAGAAATGTCTTTACAAAGAGTAGTCCAACTAGTTAAAAAGGTGGGGGCATGCTCATTTTGTGAAATCATAATTGCTTTCATTCCACAAGTTAATTTTTTTTTTTCATTTTCAGAAAAGTAGTATTAGGTTTGTTTTAGAAACACACATCAGAGATATTACAGGTTTCCTCCACCCACATGTGGGCTGTCCCTAATATGCCTAAAGGCAATTCTGGCAGCATCTCAACTGCTTCTGTCATTGTACCATCTTGTACCTGCCACTACCTGGAAATGTGACATAAGAGACAGTAACAATACCAACAGTACTATAAGTAACTGATAAGCAAACTCAAAGTCCACCTGCACTATATGCAAATTAAAAAAAGGTTAGTTTTCCCCAATCATAGTTAATATAGTATGTGAGTGGCGCTAAAAGAGCTATGGATCTTTAACGATGGCAGTGCTATATTGGTGTACACACCAATACAGTGATTAATTTTATTACCACAATTCTGCATTAACATTATGTAATCAATGAATAAATGCAGTTCTGTAATCTTACAACCAATCACGTGAACTGTGGTCAACTTTGCCTTTTAGAAAACAAAAAAAAGCAAGCAACCCAGAAATCCCTATCTCAGCAGCGCCTCTCAGACATCTCTCAACATTCTATTATGAAGGCAACGTCCTTCAAGAAACAGAGTGGAATTGGACTCAATCTAAAAAATTTGCTATTGCAACAAGAGAATGTTTCAGAAAGAAACCACTTGTGCTTTCTAATATTCACCTGGCTTTTGGATGTAATGGTGACACCCCATTTCACCCTCTCATTTTTTCTGCCATTGCCATTTCATATCAAATCTGCACTCGTCCAGCTTGACTCTGAGCAAGGCCCAAGAATAAGAAATCACAGACAGTAAGGCGATCTTTACAATGTCAGAAAATGTATTTGGCATTTTAAAAATAAACAAGTGCATACAAATACAGCTAGAAGCATTTCTGTTTGCCAAGTGCTCTCTAAAAAAAGCAGCGCAAGTCACAGCCTACACTGAACAGTAACTGTCACCAAGGAAGCACAACAAATAGTTGCTATAACAAAAAAGAGGAAATGCCTTTAAGTACATACCTTTTGTCTTCAAAAAAATATAGAAACACAATGTATTCAAAAAATCAAAATTATACAGCCATGTTTTATGAAGTCTACATTTCCCTTGTCTTGGAGATATATATATATTTATAGATATTTATAGATATATACATAATTCAAGCAGTTTTAGTTATAGGTGACCGTTGGGTTGTGAAACTGGAAAAAGTCACGAGTCTCTCTCTTTTTTCACTTTCACATCTCCTGCAAGAATGGTTGCAATCTCCCCCTGCATGAAAGCCCAAGGGACATTGGAGCCCACCAGGGGGCATTTCTCCCCACTGGGACAATATACCTCGCCACTAGCTCCTTGTTGTTTGATGCTTTGTCTGGAGCAAGGGAAACAGAACTTGTGGGAAGGGACAGAGGGGCACTGAACAAAATGGGTGTCTTCCAACCGCTCGTGGCACAGGGTGCAGCACAAGGGAACACTGGCTGCTAGAGATGAGTCCGGGAGGCTGGCAGGATGCACTGGCTCCAATCCCCCAGCAGTGTTTGTCCCTTGACTTGGCACCTCCCTGCTTGGACCCAGCCTTCTTTGGTTCATAGAGGACGGAGAGGGCGGGCTGTTGCTGTTTCTCCTGGTAGTGGAGTGAACTTGGTTGGCATCTTTGGAGGAGTGGTTGCCCCCTGCATTGTCTGCTACTAAAATGAGCGCAGCCATAGGGGATTGGCCATTCTGGGCTGCTTCAGGCGGTGTGGTCCTGTTGGAATGAGGCGAGGCAGTTGGTGGAGGGGGGGACATGAAAGATGTAGCAGTCATGGACATTTTCATCCCCTCTGATGATGTTGGCAACCAGGGCTGTGATTCTCCATTGATCTTAGGGGGTCCAGCTTCACCTTCTGGTTCTGGGGACGGCTTCCTTTTCCTTGATGCCCGAGCCCCTAGAGATGCAAAGAAATGGAGAGGAGGAAATGCACAAGAAAAAAAAAAGCAATCAGATTAACACAGCTATAAAGGGAGATACAGCTACACAAATCAAGCTTCAAAATGGTTCCATTTTAAAAGTATACACAGCCCCTGGTTTGCATAGAAATACCTATTATCTGACGTATGCAAATACATACACAACATGCATCCAAAGTAGATGTGTGTGTTCTATACAACTTGTGCATGTGCACATCCAGCCACCACATGCAGGCATGCAACAACCTGTACAAGTACACAGTTCACACACACGCGGGCTGGCTCTGCAACGCTGCTAGGAGGCTGAAAGGTTACTGGTGCCTTCCCTGCAGCTCCTATGGCGAGCATGAACGCCAGGGAGGAAAAGCCCTATCTCTGTCAGTGCCTACCAGCCGGCCCTGACTCATAGCTCTCTGTTGTGCTGTTTCAGCACATGAACACGTTGCCACCTAAGCAACGGTGCCGCGTTAGGCACCAGGAAGTGGGAGTTAAGAGCTAGGAGGCTGAAAGGTTACTGGTGCCTTCCCTGCAGCTCCTATGGCGAGCATGAACGCCAGGGAGGAAAAGCCCTATCTCTGTCAGTGCCTACCAGCCGGCCCTGACTCATAGCTCTCTGTTGTGCTGTTTCAGCACATGAACACGTTGCCACCTAAGCAACGGTGCCGCGTTAGGCACCAGGAAGTGGGAGTTAAGAGATCGGGGTTTGTTTTGGGGGGGGGGGGGGGGGGCATCTCCCTTTCC